GCAAGAATGCAAGAAGGGGGGGGGGCTTGGAAGGAGGGGGGGGGGGGGAGTGTATTATATGTGTTCAGAGGGCTTGGGAGGAAGGGGGGAATTTTGTGTTTAAATGTCACCCGATCATTAATTTGACATTCGGTGACAGTTGCCACTTAACATGTGCATACATTAAAACTGGTAGTAGCGGCCCCCACGGGACTAAAACATTTGTCAAGTGGCAGCCGTCTAAATTGAGTTTGAGACCCCTGATGTAGAGGGATTGGTGGTGGTGTTGATCAGATATCGGGGAGTATGAAGCGGTCTCTTTTTATTTTTTGAATTTTTTGAATCTCTGTGCAGCAATGCCAATAACCATGGCCCCAATAACCCCATTTCCTGCATCCAGTACTCTTACTGCCCTGTGGACAGGCTTGGTTCCAAAACAAACACTTGCTGCATTCAGCACACGCTCTACTCCCACTGAGACGCACACACTCCAGCTAGGTCCAGCTGCACACGAATGAGGACCTGTGCAGTCACCACCCAATTACAGTCCATAGAATTAAGTCTGTCCCACCCAGAGCTGTGTAAGTCCAGCCCCAGAACGGGTTTTGCCTTGTCCTTTCCGAGATGTACTGAATTAGTTTTTTTTTTTTTCCTAGGCACACACATTAACTATTCCTTTTTTTTTCTCTCTAGGGTGCAGGAACGAAGGAGAAGGTGCTGATCGAGATCATGTGCACCAGGACTAATGCTGAAATCAGGAACATAGTGCAATGCTACAAGTCAGAATTTGGACGGGATGTTGAAAAAGATATCCGATCTGACACCTCTGGCCACTTTGAAAGACTGCTTGTGTCTATGTGCCAGGTCAGCTGATTGCTCCCGTCTTGTTGTAATAAATGTAACTGAACAATTAAATGTTACAGTAGGCCATATTTTAAAATGGTGCCTTAATGCTGAGCTCCAGACAAACCCCTAAATATATTTATGATAGACATACTTGACATGTGTTTCTGTCCATCCCACCCAGAGATTTACACAGCCATGCCAGACAGCTGAGACATTTTTCCCAAGTAATCTTCCAGGACAGCATCTGAGAGATGGTCTCCCACCTGCTGTCCTGGAAGATTCCTGGAAACCGAGTTACCAGGTACCTAACTCAGTTTTTTTCTCTCTCTAGTTGATCAATATTGAGGTCACCTCCCTGCCCCCTGACTTGATTTGGTCCGTAAAGAAGCCGCAACACTACTGATGAGCTCATCCCATTGCAGTACAGTTTTTGGTTTAATCTGCCTGGAGTCCAGCTTTAAAGATGACATTTTCTTTTTATATGCCAGCCTGTATAAAAGTGCAGAAGATAGCAGAGACCATGGGAGGCATTGATTGATTACATGACAGTTTTGCTTATGTCCAGATCTCGGCCGTTCCTCTGAAACAAGTATTTATTCGTTGTTAGTAAGTGGCGGTAGAGTGCTCTTTCAAGGCCACGTTCCTGCTTATTACAATCTGGTGAGGGATTGGCAACAAGTACTCATGTAAACAGTAATGGATAATGTGTTTACTTTATGGTTGATTTTATATCGGATGTATTCCTGAAAGGGACAGGGCCTCTTTAAATTCTGGCTATCGCGTATCAACCACAGGACATTTTGTGGTCACATCCTAAGTTTTTAGTCTTTGAAGGTTGCCAAATGATAAAAGGTTTTCTCTTCCTCAGGGTAATCGGGATGAAAGTACCAATGTGAATGTGCAGCAAGCTGAATCCGATGCCCAGCGCCTCTACCAGGCTGGGGAAGGGAAGTTGGGAACAGACGAGTCCTCCTTTAATCTGGTGCTGGCAAGTCGAAGCTTTCCACAATTGAAAGCTGTTGCCGAGGCCTATGCCAGGGTAAGTGGTGTGCAGCAGCGGGTCAGTATTTAGACTTGGGGCTCCCAATCTAATTCAGGGGCAGGCAACCTTTGCAACTCTGCTTTTGTAGAACTACAAGTCCCATGAGGCATAGCAAGACTGACAGCCAGCGGCGTTATTGGATTGGTAGTTTTGCCACAGCTGGACTGCCGAGGTTGCCATCCCTGATCTTCTACACGTTTGGTCTAATCTTTAGCTATAGCCCACTAGCACCGCAATTGTTCTACAATTTCAGGAAATCACCTTATAGGAAGTCTAACATTGGCACAGAATGTTTTGTGTGTTTTTCAAGCCTTGCTGCCAAACAATTCTGCTTTATCTGTAGCTTAGAAATCTGGGACTCTTTTATTGGATTCTTTTTTTTTTTTTTTAAAGATTGTCCATGTTTTATATTTTGTGGATAAGCTTGGGAAAATGGTTACTCTTCATCAATTATTCCTAATTTCCATCTACCGTGCTAGTCCTGGCTGTGACCTGGGAAAGTATGATATCCTGTTGCTGGCCCCGCACAGAAATGGCTTTACACGGTTTTCTGCCTCCTATTTTTTTTCGCCATTTGCACCGAGTAATACAAATGAAAGGTGCAGATAAATGCTCCAAGTCTTGGCAAGCTGAAGAAACTGAACCAAATCATTTCAGGATTTCAAACCTAAGAGAGATGTCCTAAAACGAAGCTCCTATGTAAAATGACACTGGCAGATAGTCTGCAACCGTCATTAAGTAAACGCAATGTGACAGTTTGTGACCTTTTCATGTTCACAACTTAAAACTTACAGGTTTCTTTTTTTTTTATGTTCCCCAAATAAAATGAATTCTTGTGTAAACTCTTATAAACCATCAGCCATAATTAACGGCTACTTGGCTATTTTTCTGTTCCTTTTTATTTTATTTTTTTTCCCCATCTTGTTTAATTATTTTTATTTGATTATCAGTATTCGCATGGACATGACACTGTGGGTGCTTGCTGCTGGTCCCCAGCGTATAATGTATTGGGGTGACGTTGTCTTTAAAGCCCAACTCTTAATGTACAATACGAGTGGGCAAAGTGACGAGAACCCGTTTTGCCTTTCACTGTTTGTATTTAGTTACAGCGAAGTTTGCCTTTAGTGTCCCCAGCACTGTATATGAGGAAAACTCTACTATGAGAAGACGGAGTTATAAAAGGGCAAGGGCTTGTGCTGACGGGCTTTGGCTCAATGACATCGCTTTGTAACGCTTCTAGGCCTCAGTCTAATCGGGGGAAGCAAAGGGGTGCTGACCCAGGCCCCTGACCCCATACATTTAGGAATGGCAGAGGGGTGGAAGGGTATTTTTAGAGAAATAATGCGCTGTTTATTCATAACTGGCGGCATGGTAAGCTTGATGCGTCCACAGTTCCTTACACTCAGCGCTCAGTACCCAGTGATCCCAATATCTAATATCCATTTGGTCATTTTATAGATTTCAAAGCGGGATTTGCTTACTACAATCGGCCGTGAATTTTCTGGCTACATAGAAGATGGATTGAAGGCAATCTGTAAGTATGAGCTCTGATTCTGCACATGACACAATAAAAGCTGTGGCAATGTCTTCTATTTCACACACACATTGACTGCACTGGTCTGCCCCCATCATTACAAAGCGCTCTTCCTAGTGCTCAATACATGACCACTATTGTCTGTGTTGCATATATAAAAGAACCCCAGAGACACTTTCTTAACCCTTGGAGTGCACTGCTTGTTTTTGTCTAGGTGCTAAAATACCAAAGTTATACTCGCCCGAAGCTCTGAGCCGGCCAGCGCTCCCTCCAGCCTGTCTCCTCCTACACTGCAGCATTGCAAGCTTCCTCAGTGGTCTCACATCTATACACTGTGTATAGATGTGATGATTTACGGGACCTTAGGCTGCTGTAGAGGGGGAGAGACACTGGAAAGACCAGGGTAAGAACAAGCCAGCTCAGAGCATTGGGGTGAGTATAAGGTTTTTTTTCTTTCTTTCTTTAACCCAGACACAAATGAGCAGTTAATGCTTGCGGTGTGGGGGTAGTCCCCCTGCAAGGGTTAATCATTTTTTCCCCCCTGGAGTTCTTTAAGGTGTATTGGTTTGTGACTAATGTCCTTCTTTCTTCTTACAGTGCAGTGTGCTATAAACCGTCCAGCCTACTTTGCGGAGAGACTTTACAAGTCCATGAAGGGAGCTGGTACAAATGATTCCACTCTGATCCGAGTTGTTGTTACCCGCAGCGAGGTACAGTTCACTTTTCTTGTCATACAGAGGAACGCTCCCTATTTTGGGAATCATTAAAGTTTAAATCAGGGGAGGCGGAGCCTCGCCCAGTATTATGAAGAAAAAAAAAAGGTGTCAGCTTCAATTCTGAAACTGACAGCTTTTTCTCCATTCAGATCGCTTTCTAACAGGTTACAGAGCAGGGAAAGAGCGCTGCCTGTTAATTGCAGGCAGCGCTGCATCCTGCTTTTGACAGGTAGTTAGGTTACACAGCAGCGGGCTTCTCCACTGCTTGTGTAACCTAACTTGGTGAGACAAGAGCAGTCACAGCCTCTACTCTGTGTTAGAGGCGTGAGCTGTGTGGATGGCTTGGACCAATGGCAAAGCCCCTGTGCCCCCTGTTTATTTCATGGGCCTATTAACTGCTGTCGCCTGCCTCTTGATGCACATCCCATTCAAGAATGAACTCCGTGTCTTGTGAGTTACAATCGCGAACAGGATTTGAGTCTTTCCTGTAAAATCCATTTCTTGGTATACATTACATCTCTGTAATCCACTGCTTGCTACAAAACGGAGGCAGGCTGCACATGGGAGGGATTATACAGGCATGTCCTTGATTGCCAGTGTCCAGTCACCTGAAGGTAGCGGCATAACCCATTGGCTTGAGAACGAATGCCCTGTGTCCTCTGAATTAAAATATCTTGCCTGATAAATCTGTTTCTTAAAGTAAATCACTTCCCTTGTTTTTCCCATTTCAGATTGATCTTGTTCAGATCAAACAAGCCTTTGCCCAGACGTACCAAAAGAGTCTTGCCTCCATGATCCAGAGTGATACAAGTGGGGACTACAGAAGTCTGCTGCTAGCAATAACTGGCCAGTAGGATCCATGCTGTGAAAGGAGGATGACTGGGAGCATTTATATATGGAGGTTCCAGGAATATCTGGTCTGAAAAAAAGTCTATATAGCAGTTGGGTCATCGTGGCCCTTTTGTGGTGTATTTTTTATAAACATATGCCTTAGCCAAAAATCTATTGCAAGTTTTACACATCAATGAAAACTTTTAGAATGACAAAGTCTGTTTGTTCATTAAATAGAGGTCACTGTCTTCATAGCCATACTGGCCATTGTGGCTAGAATTTGTTACATGTCCCTTTGGGAAAGCCATTGTACTTCGTGGTAACAGTGATGACCTTTTGTGTAGCTGTACCCATATTCACTGCAACATTAAATGCACATATAGCATGAATAAATATCATATTTTCTATTGAGACTTCCTTCGACTTTGCTGGATCATCATTTTGTACGTGTGGATACGTTTGCTAAATTTTGTCATTATCTGCGACCTTTTAAGCCTTCAGGTGAACTACAAGTTTCATGCTGGGGCAGGGGGGTTCTGACACGCTTATCTTGCAGTGGGATAAACATTTCCATTTAGAAAACCTTCCAAAATATAAATATGGATGCTAATAGTGCTGACTTGTCTTTGACGGTGCAAAGTCCAGGGCTGTCGCATCCATCCATCTTTAACCACTGAAGTATCCGATGTTAACCGCTTGAAGACCAGGTGTTTAAACCCCCTTCCTGGCCGGCCATTTTTCAGTGTTCAGCGCTGCAGTACTTTGACTGACGTTTATTCCGTCATGCAGCGCTGTACAGAAATGAATTTTTTATACCTTTTTTGGGGACAGATAGAGCTTTCTTTTGGTGGTATTTAATCACCACTGGGGGTTTTATTTTTTACTATATTCAGGAGAAATTACTGAAATTTTTTTTTTTACATTATGCTATAAAACAACTAATATTACCCACTTTTTTGGTAAAATAAAACAAGCCTGTGTCTATATTGAGGGGCACAGCCAGTATGCATGTTGCATTGGAACTGTGCAGGTTGATGTGTAAGCTCATCAGATGGTCAGTTTTAACTTCAACAGTCTCATGATCTGCTCAACAGACCTCTTTCAGAATACTGCTAGTTTCCTGGCTGTAATGCTAAATACGCTTCTAAGTCACACCCTGTCCTATAGAAATCGGTGGTTTCTGCATCTCTAGTCGGCATTTGTAGCAGAGGTCAGCAATGGCAACCTTTTTATTACATCCGCAGTACAGGTCTCCTTCAATATACTACTTGTAAAAGTATATTTTTCTGTGTGCCTTCAGTTTACCTGCAAATGTTTCCTCCTAATTCTAAGCAGATTAAACATTGACGGAATACTATTCATTTATGTTCAAGTTACAAAGGTAAACCACCCCGCGTCCTTCCACATGGGTTATTATTTGTAACCACACAAACTGTATACACGGCACAACAAATATGTCGGTCTGATGTAGGTACACGTTCAGGGCCCGATCACATCCTATCCCAGTGCGGTTCAAGCTGGGCAGCATTCTGGAGTGGGTGTGTGTCTGTGCCATTCATGTCAATGGCACTGCAGACTCGTGATCGCCCGCACCAGAACACGAGGTATAGGAATGCCCTCCGTTCCGGTGCAGTGCAATCTGAAAAAATGTTGCACTTCTTTTTTTCCCCCGATCGCATTGCACTGGAATGGAGGGCATTCCTATACCTTGTGTTCCAGGAAGGGGAGTGGCCGGGCATGCGTGTCTACGGTGCCATTGAAATGAATGACACAGACGCCCCAGAACACTGCTGGTTTGAACAGCACTGGTGACGGGGCCCTTAGTGAACAAGTTGCCCTTCAACAATTAGACATTAGACACAGGTCGCACTCTGCTCATACACCTTACCATTATCGTTTGATAATCATCCGCAATTACTGTACAACTGGCTGAATTTGGTTGCAGGGGCACACTAAAAAAAAAAAATGTTGTCATTGTATGAAAGTAGAAAGGCATCATGGCACACTCACAAACTAGCATGTAAAACAACTTGTCTCACCACTAAGGACAATGACAGAGGTTTGGATACACGTCTTCCGCAAAGGATGTGTAAGCCGCACTGCCGCTCCAAGGCACCTCTTATAGTGCGGTCCTAACTCTAAACTATGAGAGTCTCCATCTTGGGATCCCTTGTGTGTTTCTGTACCTTTTAAGGAGGTGGGGCGTCCTCCTGACAAGCCTGCACCCAATTTGATATCTTCTGCCCCATGTGCTCCAAGATGGAGACTCTCATAGTTTAGAGTTAGGACCGCAACTGGTAACAAATTGTTGAGTGCGTTTGTCGTTTGTTTTGCTTTATCGTCATTGTATGAGTCGTACGGAAACTCCCCTAATCCATCAACAAAAATCGCACCATGAACGCCGCACATGTGCAAACGAAAATCTGTTCTTTTGATTGATGAAATTCAGCCAGTAAGTATTTCTGACGATTATGGTAGAGCTGCAGTTAACGATTATTTTCAAAATCGATTAGTTAGCCGATTATTAAGTTCGATTAAAGAAACCTACATTGGTCTGCATGATGGGCTATTTGAGGGGAAATTGAACGAGGGTGTTGTGTGTGGACAAAAACACAAAATGTGAACGATAATAGTAAGGCGTATAGGGACACAGACAGCAAATACAACCTGACATGTTCCAATCCCTCTGCGCTCTATCCAAATCTTGCCTTTTGAGTTCTTCCCTGCAAAGGGTTTTTACACCTACAGACTACCCTGATGCCATCCAGTCTTGCTGACCTCTGAACATAGGCAGGGTCAGACCTGGTTAGTTTTTGGAAGGGATACCAGGAGCTGCCTCTTTGCAGGTTTATACTTCTGATTAATAGTTCATAATTCTGTAGTAAGATCATGGGGGGTGTTGTTTTTTTTAGCACTTTTTATGAGGTTAACCACTAGACCACGCACGTGTATATTACTGGCCACTTTATTAGGTACACCTGTTTGACTACTCAACAACACATATCTAAATAGCCAATCACAAGGGAGCAACGCACTGCATTTTAGGGATGTAGACATGGTCAAGACGATCTGAAGTTCAAACTGATCAGAAAAAGGGATTTGCATGTGGCATGATTGTTTGTGCTATACGGGTTGGTCTGAGTATTTTAGAAACTGCTGATCTACTGGGATTTTCACACATAACCATCTCAGGTTTACAGAAAATGGTCAGGAAAAAGAGAAACTATCCAGTGAGTGGCAGTTCTCTAGACAAAAATGCCTTATTGATGTCAGAGGAGAATGGGCAGACTGGTCTGAGATGATAGAAAGGCAATAGTAACTCAAATAACCACTCGTTACATCTGAGGTATGCAGAATACCATGTCTGAATGCACAACATATTGAACCTTGAAGCAGATGGGCTACAGCTGCAGAAGACCACACAGGGTGCCACACCTGTCAGCTAAGACCAGGAAACGGAGGCTACAATTCTCACAGGCCCACCAAATTGTACAATAGAAGATTGGAAAAACATTGCCTGGTCTGACGAGTCTCGATTTCAGCTGCGACATTCATGGAGCCATCTGGTATAAACAGTTCAGGGTAGTGGTGTAGGCGATTATTTTCTTGGCACACTTTCAGCTTCTTAGTACCGATTGGTCATCTTTTAAACGCTACAGCCTACCTGACTATTGTTGCTGACGATGTCCATCCCAAAAGGGGGTCCAACCTGGTACTAGCAAGGTGTACCTTGATAAAGTGGTCATTGAGTGTACATGCAGTGTCACTGAAGTATGCATTCCACTGGCACGTGTTTATGTTGGAAGTGCGCTCCAAGGACCCAAGCTGTCATCACCACCTCCTCGGTTCAAACAAAGGATTGGAGCCAAGAGGATCAGCCCCAATCATGTGACCATCAACCACAGTAATCACTGTGCATGGCAAAAAAATATATATTTTATCTGTGCCCTCCTGCGGGTACAAACACACTGAATATCAGGAGTAGGATTTTGTTTCCATTGCTATTTACCACAAAAAGGTCAAATTCATGCTTGGGGAAATAAAACAAGGAAGAATTCCCCTGGATACACTATGCAGTTGCTAAGATGTGTACAATTTACTACACATGCCAGAGTTGCATAACTGGGTTCAGGTGTTAGGTAAGAACCCTTAAGGGGTTAATTAGCAATACATTGGTTCCCCATCCTGGCTGTTTGAGCAAACCAATTAACCATAACCATATACTCAAACAGCAGGAGGTGATATCATACAGTTGATTAATGAGGCCTTTAGCTTGTTCACAATACATTTGTTAAAGACCTGAGTGGTTGAAATGCATCATACAGAGCAGAGGGGGTTTTCAAAAGGATTGAATGCTTACAATATGTGAACACTGTTTTTAGGGTGCACCCACATCAGACTATCAGTATTGTAAAGGTTATGTCCTGTCCACCTACAAGAATTCCTCCATCTCAACATTTAATCATGGCTGTATCAGCAGCCAGCAAAGTGGAGGGTAGGGATGAGCTCAGGTTTGGTCCAAGCTTCCCATCATAAAAGGTTTGACCTTGTGACTTGATCTGATGCTTACCTTGATGTGACCCCTTGAAAAGTTGGATAAACCATTTTGCAACGTCCAAGTATCGCTACTATCCGGGACCAAAAATCATGCCAGAATCATTTCATTTTATTTTTTTAAATACATTTTCATTTTATTTGGGAGAACATCATACATTGTCGCCTGCAAATAGGTTGCATATTGTAGAGGAAGAAGTTTGGCAGTATAGAAGAAACATACATTTTATTATAGAGGGCTTACACATCTAGAGAAGGTTCTCCATGAGAAATGTATACGGAGTTCAAAGAGTCGGTTCTGCTGCATGATGCTGCGGCAAAGTTCTCTTTTTGCCAATAGGGAAAACAGTTCGATTTTTTCAATTGATTTTAGATTATATTAAAAAGCAAAAGGGCGAACATACAAAATTGACACGCTGTTCAGAGCAGCGGCCCATGCACAAAATGTATTGTGTGCTACTGTTTATAAAAGTTTTCAATAACTCAGAACATGCATAAAATGTCTGACCCGGATGAGGAGTATGTACAGTCTGTAGAGCAGGAAGGGTAGAGACGGGAGGGAAAAAAAAAACCCCAAACCCTTAGGTTACCCTTAAACTTCAAGTGATCTTGCAGAGATGGAAAGGTAAATGTCAAAATATATACCAAAATACAACGGAAATCAGAACATTTCATTAGTTTGTGGAACAAATAAGTTCTTGGAGTCTTCAAACTTAGCAGTCCAGCAAATAAAAAAAAATAAAAAATATGAACATGCAGTCTTGGTTTACGGTCACTAATATTTTAACGTTTGGACAGAGCAATCTTCTTAAGTCCTGCACGGCCTAAACAAACGTTCAAAGTGTTCGCAGTCTATGCAGACTCGAGAAATCCATAAAAAAACAAAACAAAAACCCTGCAGCTATTCAGTCGTGATCAGCCGTAGAAGCAACTTTAATACTCACAATAAACTAAAATGTATTCATAACATCTATGTAACCTATAGATGCAGTTCCTGTACATCATAGGTTTATATATTAAATATTTGCAAAAAAAGAAAAACATGCATACACAAAATACAAAACCAAGCTTTACAGACTTGATATGAATCAAAATTTACTTTAACATAATGTACATTGCTCAATTAAAAGTACCCTAGAATGAACAATCTTGATTTATTTTTATTTTTTTTTTGTCCTTTTTGAAACTTTTTTATTTTAAAGGGATGAAAAAATCTCCACAAATTTCGGGCAGAAAAGTATTGAAATTAAATATTTGTTTGATCTGTGTTCAAGTAATAAATGTTCCTATGTAGAAATCTTTCCATAATCCGTAAAACTAAAAAAGACAGTGAGTATAAATACATAATCCCCGACATCTAATGAATACACCTGAGGTCAGCATTAAATAAGAGCCAACGTTTCGTTTTGGCATTGATTCCGATCTATCTTAAAATACATTTTGCAGCCTCGGTATATTTAAGACAACTCTAATCTATCTTTTAAAGACATTTAATAAACAAATGTCTTTTAAATAAATAGCTTTTGAGGGATGTACTTAAATTCTGATTTGAAAAAAGAAAAAAAAATCTAGCTAGTGAACAAAAACAGATTTCCATTTGTAAACGTAAGTGTCAACAATGATAAGCGTGAGATGCTACACTAGATGTGCTTTCATGACATACAGCCCAATACCTTCCCACGATTCAGAGACCACATAGTGACAGGTTACAAACGTGCCCATCGCAAGGGTCTGGGTTTTACACGTTAACGGTTTCTCGTCTTGGGAACGTGAATGTTTGCACACAGGAATCTGCTGAATTTCCCAGGACTCTGAACTGTCTGCTATTAGGTCTTCTAGTGCCCATTGGCTATTGAAGCTGTTGTATCACAAAGCATGGATCTAGGACTTCTCAGGCAAGGTGTGAGTAAACCTGAACATGGAGCATTGTCACTGGGCGTTGTTATTGCCACTCCCGTTATTTTCCTTGGCATTTGTGTTCACTGAATTAATACCGTCTTGCTGTCTGGCATCTTTCCTAGGAGGCATCCTTTCATTGATCCGGTCCAATCCCTTTGCTTCTTCAAAACTGCAGATTTTATGTTGCGGTGAAAATCCTCGTATTGCTTAAAATGCAAATGTGATACATTAGTTCCCGTTAATCTGTATTTAACATTTACATATATATAAAAAATCAGAACGATTTGAGCTAAATGAAAATGTGATTATAAAAGAACAGACATAATTCGGGTTCTGCACTAGTCACATATATGCTTTCAGGACAATTCTAACATTTAGGTAAGCTGACAACTGAGAAGTCCGCATACGCTGCATATATTTTCAGAATTATTTGCACTGGTCATATTGTAAACATGGAAAGAGCAGCTGTCAGTTGTCAGCTTATAAGTTTTATAAATGTCCCCTCAACATTTCTTAAACTTTTCCTTCCATATTACCAACCGCGAGGGATTTCCAGATCAGAGATCGGGATAGGCAAATCTGCCTGGGTTAGTGCTGAATCCGGTTTGAAATTTGCAAGACCCATACTTAGCAGAACATCTCATTTAAGTATATTGGGAAAGGGGGGTGAACCGTGACACCAAATTCTGGTCATTTTCAAGGCATGTTATTATTTGGGGAGCCTGTGCAAATGCAAAATATTACAGTGAGGACGAGGCCCTGTTCATTTGTCTATGTCTGGAGGAGACAGAAACTATAACCCGCTGTGTTACGCACATTTCTCAGGCCTACTCCACTGTTATCACCATGTAAAACAAAAAAAGGCCTGGAAAAAAAAACAAGTGCAGCCAGCAACAATTTGGAAATATGCCCCATAAAAAAAAAACCCATGCAGCCTGCTAACACTCTAGTGAATGTGGGCAGGGACAGGCTGTAAAGCAGCAGCATTAAGATAAAAAAAATAACCTTCCCCCCCCCCCCCCCACCACCAATTTTCTACCCAGTTACCATTCAGTAAGGGTTTACATCTACTTTCCTACAAGCTCAACAAAGCTCTCCCTATGCTCCCCAAAGCTATCTTTGTGTGTCAGCAGCACCCCCTATGCTTTCTGCATCACACGCAAAGCAATAAGTCAATATGCTCACCCTTTTATAGTAAGGTGTCTGACTCATCCAAAAGAATATGGACACCGGCGCTCCAACGGCAAATAGATTACGTCTATTTATTGACGTACATGCAAAAAACAAAACACGTGTGATCCCCTTCATCAGGCAGAACAAGCGAGCACCCTCCTTTTCCTAATGGAGGAGCGGTCAGGACTGCGATGGGTACATGGACTGCGAAAAGCCCCTTTGTTGGCCCATCTAAGCCAGCTGACCCAAGTTCACCGCTAGGCGGTTCATTTTCGTACAAAGAGTTTGGTCAGGCAAATTTCCAACCTGATGGAACCACCCCAAACCGGACACTTATCCTCAATCAGAGCACAGTTTTATAAGGGGGATGCTGGCGGCACTACAGGAAAAGTTTGAGAAACACAAGATTTGCTATTCTGAAAATATTTGACCTCTGATCATGACAGTAAGAAACTCCACCAAAAACTAATTCATATAAACTGCACATCATCCACATTTGATGAGTTGGATGTTCAGAGAGGCCAATATCAGAAACGTCTAAAGTAAATGATTAGTTCTGGGTGGAGGCCTTTCTCCTGTGTCCTGTGTCTCTGCACAGTAAAGGCATTGAAGCATCTTACTACAATAAACATATCATGAACTGCATAGCACTATGTTAAATATGGATAAGGCAAAGTACAGATGTGGACAGACTTGTGCTGAAAGGTTCATTCCGTTTACAAAAGTAGATCTGAAAACACAAAGATAATCGCTTACATAATGGTGCACATCCCAAACTCAATCTTTCATCCTACCTTCTCCACAATAAAACAAAGGTGGGAGGTTATGCAATGGAAGCCAGTTGGACTGCCAATCTAACATGTTTTCAGGCACTGGGGGCCAGAGAGGGGAGGTTTTCAGAACCTTGCAGGAGAAGAGCAGAAGGAAAACCTCAGCAGTATGGGGATTCGCATTGGTCTACTGAACAGATGGATGGCAGAGAGTTGCAGCAGGAAATAGTGGTGGCTATGCTGTAAAATTTCCTAAAATATTGGCTGGCCATGTATGTCAACTGTTTTTGAACTGTCTGGCCGGAATTCCACGTTGATTTGGCCTATTATCTATTGTGTTTTCACAACTAAATCTGTTCATAAGAGCAACCTTTGTAGCGGTTCATCCATCCACATGTAAACACAATGCCCACTGGACTGCCTAGAGCCTCAATTCATTTTAAGCTAGTGCAAACATTTCATTCTCTATCATTGAAAACTACTGAGAAAACTCTGGCCAGGTAACCCTCAGGAGGTCACACATGACAGCTATGTGAATTAAACATAAACCTGAGATTTGTCATTTCACCAACAAATCCTTCCATTCGATTTAAATGCACTGTGACAATTTGTAATATAACAAAAAGGAAATAAAAATATCTTGCACCACCAGAACAGTTATACAACCAAATACAAGAAGAAATGTGCCACACAGGAATTATGATTTAGGGTCATGCATAAATCACATTTCAAGAGAAGAAATGGATCTAGAAATACTGGATCTTTCCTTCCACTGCACAAACACAGAACAAAGCGCACACAAAATGGTCTAGTGAAGTATAAACAGATCCAAGTTACTCTATAGACCATGCCACAGATAAGAAACAAAACGGGTAACTCTTTTGGGAGGACGGATCAATAAAAGGATCCATCTCTGGTTGTGCAAGTAAACATTGGGTCAAAATCACACAAAACGTTGAGCCCCCCACCCCAAACAGACCTCGGACACTAAAGCATACCTTTATCAGCCTCAATTGCCTCAACTGTGGCTGTACAGAAGTGAGCAGATGCATGCAAAATGAATGAAAAAAGATGAGAAGTGTAATATCGGATAACACAAAAAAAGGCAATGACCATTTCTACATTATATACTTCCATCCCAATTATCGGAATCAAAACCATCATTTTCCAGTACACAGCAGATGCATTTGAGGAATACGTTTGTTAGATATGCAATGTTGCCTGCTAGTAGAAATGGGAAACTGAAGGAGGAGGAAATGTACATTGTATTCATATGAGAAGGAAAATGAAGTTTGCTTTTTTCATGTTTGTGCTAAATGTTCTCAGAATAATACTAATAATACTAATACTAATAATACTAATAATACTAAAGCTGGCCATACACCTTACAATTATCTGCAGATTTTCTGTGGTCAGATGGAAAAGGTGCAACAGATTCCTCCATCTACACTTAACTGTGTGTATGGAGTAATCTCCACCTGGGCCAATCTGTTGCACTTTTTCCATCTGACCACAGAAAATCTGCAGATAATTGTAAGGTGTATGGGCACCTTAATACTAATAATACTAATACTAATAATAATACTACTAATAATAGGCAGCTTTGCAATCCTGTGTTTGTCAATGCCAATATAAAACGTAAAAACATGCATATATTTACCACTGCTGCTGTACACAAAGTATAGTAATAGCAATATACACAGAAAATAAATACTTATTATATTGGGAGGTA